GGTTGTGATGGGTGAGTTTTTTTTTTCTTTGGTGTCATTTCATTTTTTAAAGATTTCCTTAATTATGACCTTCATCATAAAAGCATATTTGATCGATCAACATTGAAATACAACCCATCTCATTACAAATGTTGTTAATTTGAACAAACAAATTCAGATCATGGTATGTTTAATCACTTTCTTTAATTTACTGTAGTCCTGAGAAATGTTGTGTTGGATTTAAATGGGACGAACAAATAGGGAGTTGTACAAGTATGTTAATATCAATTTTTAAAAAAATCAATACTTTAATTATTCAAAAAGAAATACACTTGATAAGAATTTACTGTCATAATCTCTCTCTCTCTCTCTCTCTCTCTCTCTCTCTCACGTACAAAAAGGAAGAATTTAAGAACATAGAGCTGGGATATTTTGAGTATTTTTAATTTCTAGTATGTTATACATCTCTCCAGAATGCAATATAGGATACACAGGACGAAACTGTGAAGAAAAATGTCCCTATCCAACCTATGGGGAAATTTGTCAACAACTCTGCGAATGTAATGAAAGCTTATGTGATATCTCCACAGGATGTAAAAGTAAGAGATTATATACTCTTCTAAGTAATTCATTTACAGCATCTAATAATTGCTTCATAAGCATTTTTTCAATTATTTTTTTTTTATTTTGAATTTCTAGGTAATATTTCCTCGACTGTCATTTCTTCAACATCATTCATATCTCCTCGCCTTAACACAACGAATTTGAATATTACTCCTAACTCTTCATCGAAAGAAAGAAATTATAGTATGGCCTTTGGTCCTTCGATGAAATCATCAGAAAAGGCAAATATAACTAACGACATATTTCTACACCCAATAGTCCTATCATTATTCTCATTCAATGTAGCATTTGTTATTATTATTGTGATCCTCCTCACGTTTGTGTTAAGAAGATTATATTGCAGACAAGGTTTTCTCCAATTCTCTAAAGAGGAAATTGAAAGTATGAAAATGGAATATACTCAAAAACAGGACGAAAATCAAAGGGAATCCAATAGAGATTGTTTAATCCAACCACAATACACGACAAACATAGCAAAGACTGTTATTCGGCTGGGTGTGAATGATAAAAGTTTGTGTAAAAATCCCTCGGAAAATGCGGAATGTACAGATCCTAAATCTTTGTGTACGGAAATGACGTCATTGACTCTCTCTGAAAATAAAGACACAGAACGTAATGGATTTCTGCAGTTTGTTCGACAACCTTGTCAGTCTGTTGATGAACATGTTTATATGACGACAGACACGTTAACATTTGAAGGTGAAACGGAAACTAAGACATTTTTAAAGTAAAGATTAAAGATAATATATTTTTAATTTGTTTTTATTATTGTAATTCAATTAATAAAAATAAATTCATTAACAAAATATAATTATGATAATAAAATTAATGAAGTAAATATCGGCAATTTATACATGTATATTTCTTTTCCGAACCATTAAATATTTGAAAATAGGAGCGCTTGGTTTAGGATCCGTACGAAGTAATTATTCTGAATCAGATATAATCCTAGGAAACAACAATTGCTATACGAGAAGACAAGCATGATGTGTGTTAGATGAAGATGCTAGGTTTAAGTCATGCTAAGCGTAAGATATAGAAAAGCATGAACCTACATGTAATAGATGTGAAAGGGTGATATTTTATCATTTTATATAATTTTTCAAAGCATAATCATTATCAAATTTCATTCAAACAGCTCAGCATATAAAGCAACAAAATTCATCACCAAATGAAATATAGAGAACGATGATAAATACGTGAAATAAGTAGAATCTAGTCTGACTAATTTTAGTCACTTATAATCACTGATTATATCTATCAGAGTTTTGCATTTGTACTTAAATATATATCAAATGTCAGATATTTCATTTGTTAACACAATTATCTTCCTCAGGAAATAAATGCTTATTTGAACTTTATTTCCTTTAATTTTTGTCACACTCAAAATTCCTAATTAAGCAATGCATGAATGTTTACACACGCTTAACTCTTAATGATAAAGGATTTGTTTCCTGTATGTATAATATACTAAGTTATAATTTCCTTTTTCTATAATTTGATCAATTTTTATATATACGTCAAGCCGGTCAAATAATTTCTGTTATTTTGAAATCTTTTTATTTTAACTTATTTTTAAATAAAGACAAAAGTTAAGGTCAGTACGAGAAGAGAGAAAGAGGGAGAGCAAAAGATACATGTATATATTACATTTCTTAGGGAGATTGAATTTCACTACAAACTCATTCATGTAAAAAACAATTTCTTATAAAATTATGAGCAAATCATGTCTAATATATTAAGCAACAGTTCATTCAAAATATTGTATTACAAATGATACATGGTACATGTACATGGAGATCCTCATTTTCGTTTTCTTTGAAACAAATCCACCAAATCTATACGCACTATATGACTAAACGTATAAAAATAGCACAACTTTACATCTACCAAAATCTATACGCATTGTTCGACTTAACGTAAGAGTTTTCCCGGCAAATATAACAACCAGGAAGAGAACAGAACAGACGATAGCAACAGGTGTAATGCATGTGACGGGTTTTTTTATTCCTAAATAATCTGAACTAAATATATCTTGACGAGTTGCCTCCCGTCCATCTACATATCTAGTCTGTCTTTTTCACATTTTCAATTTCTACTCAAGAACAACTCGACATAGTTTAAACAAAATAAGCAGTCCAACGTATCCTTTGGCAAAATGTATTTTAATTTATTTTGTAATAAAATGCAACGTCTATTTAATTAAAAGTAGAAATGATCAATAAATAGGCACCTATTCAGTTAATATATATTTTCTAAAGAAATATTTGTAAGAACTACTTTGCTAGACAAGATGAGACTTATAAGGAAACTTTCGGATGAAATACATGGGAGTTCTAACAGTGTTCGATCTAAAAAAAATCTATTAAACAATACAAAAAAGAAGCAGAGGAATCAAGGACCATATGTAAAGGTTCTAGTTTCATGTCTATAAGCATGGACATTATAATCGTCTTTTAATGATTTGTCATTAAAATTTTCACAAAATTCAATTTATTTCTTTATGATGAAAAAAAAAGATGTGTGTGTCTGTTTTCATTTTGATTAAAAAATGACTATTTTCTCACGTTTTCGATTTATTTAAAAGATTAGTTTTCGATATTGGTTTTTAAAAATGTAATAAAACTGTCATCTTTTGAAATCCAAATAAAATGTTTCTTTAAATGAAATGTCTTACATTTATAATCAGACTTAAAAAAAAGGCGAATCTATCTATATCTTCCGATTTATTTAGGTTAAAGAACTGATAATCTGTAAACAAACAAACCCAACAATATGCTTGACATTTGCTATCATATCAAAGCCTAATGATTTCCCCAGCGTTAACCTTCCGCGTTTAAAACTGAAAGTTGGACACTTAAAACCTTTGAACGATATCGTAATATTGAATACTAAGTACAAAATGTTAAAATAGCAGGTCATTAGAAAGAGACACATATCCTAGTTATAAATAAAACAAAATAATTAAGTTCCGTTACATTGTAACAACTAAAGTGTCAATTATCATAGTAAAGAGCGTGTAGATAACAAATTAATAAGGATATAAGCTAAGATAAAATAAAAGAAGTAGCTGAAATAGTAAAAGAATCTTTTTAGAGGTTTTCTTTCTTTTTTCAGCTACAGTTTATATAATTGGGAATTTTCGATTTCATCATGTAAATTTACGGAATTTTCTAAAATAAAAAAATATCAATATATACCTGTGTTTAAGTGATATTTCGTTTGAACATAAGGCAAGTACGAATTTTACAAGTTAAAAGTAAGCAATTAATTTTGTCTCCTTTTCGTTTGTAAAAATAAGAAAATATTTTTGAAGTGTGCACAAAATATTAAAATGCAATATTTCTTACAAAATCTTCCATATAGAAATTTTTATAATGTAGATAGAAAAAATTATCTATCAAAGATTTTAAAGAAATCTGATTAAAATTTCAAAGCAGTTCGCTTGATATTCGTAAAAAAGCAAACTCATCTACATTTTGCCATGAATCCAGAAAGCAACCATTTGATAAAATAAATAAATATAAAATAAAAAAATTAATAAATATTTAAATAAAAATTTATTCATGATTTAAATGAAAAGAGACATTAAAAAATATATATATATATATGTTTGAGATCGCTCTGCTAAGAACCAATAAATTGAATGGTTAATTATCCCAATATTCATTTAATCGTTAAACAAAACTGCCAGCATTTAAGTAATGGCCTAAGGAAAATGTTAACAAATACGCAATAAACGTTCAATATGCACATCTGACAAATTCAAATTTACCTGGGACGTTAAACTAGAAGTATCCGAAAAATTTAAATTCATATTTTTAATGCAAGGGAATTTCCTGCTGTGTAACTGTAAAGAAAGAAGAATTTCAAAGAAGAGATATCTAAAAATGGTCAGATAATTTGAAAGCATAGAATTATAACTGACCAAACTATGAGAATTACTGATATTGCCTAATACTAACGGTCTTTGGGTAAACTAATTTGGTTTCTTTTTGCATGAAAAAAATAGGGCAATTTGGAAAAACCTACACGTGCTATAAATATTCGTAAAAATATAAATTAGTTGTTCAAATGCTTATCCTGAAATCTGAACTCAAAGGGAACTCATAAAAAAAATATATGGAAAGAAATGCGCATTAAAGTCAGTAAAATAATACCTGATCAACGAGTAAAGAAAATTTTCAAATTTTAGGTACATATAGAATTACTCAATCATATACAAAGGTTCGTACTTGCATTAAATCATAAATGAAAGCAGTAAATTATCATTATCTTTATCACCACAGCACGTCCTTTCATCACCTCTTCTTTGCGTATTAAACCACTTAATAAAAAATAATCGACGAAGAGAGAAAGACAATATGTTCTTTAAGACATTGCTCGTTACACACTGTCGCCATGTGTTTTGCATGGTGCTGTTACTGCAACTTCTCAGCACTTTATCTGCCAACCAGGTATGCAATTTACAATATAATGATTTTTACCAACAAATTATTAAATATTTCCAATAATACATACATGACATTATGGTTATATATATTCATTTTACATTTGTTTTAAATTTGAAAATTATGAAATTATGACTTTTTTCAACAATGTGCAATAAGCATGTTAGAAAATAATATCAAAATTTTATTAAAAATTTAAACATGTTAAGACGCTAACTTTTTGCTTTAATTTGCATTCAGCCTTTGATGACTTGTCCAGCTTCCAGAAGTACCGTTAGTTATGTTGAGAAATGCCCGAAGGACGAATTTGAATGGCTTAGTGCTGCGTTGAAAAAGAACTGTTCAAAAATCTCACAGAATTGTTCTAGTGATGACCAATTCCTTTACCATTGTTTGATCAATTCTTGGGAAAATTCGACATTAGAAGTCTGTGCTCGGCGAGTCAATATAATAGGTTTGAATAATTAATTATCTCTGTCATTTTTCATATACCAACAGCTTAAGAAAGAATATATGAATTTTTCGATTATTAATAGTAATTCATAATTTAAAGGTAAATGCGCAGAATACAATTATGATGGAGCAGTTGTTCAAGAACACATGAATGCAGACTGCAAAAACTTTAAGAATCCATGTCCAGATGTATATCTCTCTGATACAGCTTATTTGTGTAAGTCTCCATGCATTACTTTTTGACAGTTAAGCATGATTTGTTGGAGAATGGGGGTGTTTCATTTGTATGTTTTTCTTTGTATTTTCAGTATAACTCTGAATTTAATTGAAATAAAATGAAATACTGTTACAGTTGTAGTTTAAGACAACAAGTTAATGTTTCTTATGCATAAGTATGTTTAAAAGGACCTAATTTAAATATTTCTTGTTCTTAATACTAATACTTACATTTACCATTTCTTTTTAAGACCAGGAATGTTACAACATTGTGAAAAGGAAGCATTCTCAAGAAACCCCTCCCGTAATAAATAGGTAATCTGGCCCCAAGACCATAAACTGAGAACAGACTTAAGTCAAAATTTCAAATCAGTGTAACTTTTGAAATAAATTTCAAAATAAATTCAAAATTTATATTTGTATCAAAATGTTTAATAAATGTGAAAGATTTTAAAAATGTTCGATGAATAATAATTAAAATATTTAAAATCTAAATTTTGACATAAGTCTAATTAAAATTTTATTTGTATGATATATCAAGCAAAATATAAAAAAAATTCAATATTTTAATACAAAATTGTATTTTTTTTCAGAATGTCTTCTAATCGAAGGATTGAAAAGTCTAATAGCAGTATTTTTGAAGACTTCTTAATATTTACTTACTCAATAGCTATTCCTATCATCGGCAGACTCTTTGTGTTTGTCTTGCAATAGAATCCACAGAGAAATATTAATAAAATGTTAGTCATCAACATCGCCTAAATATGTAGGAACATCTGTCATTCAGTGTGAAATAATGTGTTCTATCAGGTTCACTGTGTCATTTTCAGAACTGTTTTTTTATTTGTTGTATATTGCTGGAATGAGTACATGATTATGTGATTGTTTGAAAGGAATAATGTATATACATCATTAAGAGTCTACAAATATACATTGCAAACAAAACTGGGTGCATTCAGTCCAAGATTCTAATTTCGAAAAGAGTCTTGATTATAAGGGGCAAAACGACTCTTATCTTTAGAACAGAGATCATATCACCACGTATAAAATGATTACATCAATATCAAAAGTAGTTCTTCTTAAAGAGGCTGGTGGGTCGTGGCCACGATTAGACTATTTTGATCTCCTTTAGAAGAATAGCTCCATAATAAGCGCCATAATTTCCTATTACCTTTCTCATGATTTTTTTTTTATTTTGATATGAATTAATTGTAGATTGACTGTGTACATTTGTTAAATACATAATGCATCATTTTTCAAATTTAAGTAATT